GGCGGGCTCGTAGTTGCCGCCCGTGCACTGCCGGCCTTCCTCGTCCCTGACCGTGCCCAACTTATCTGCCCAGCAATAGAACATGCCCCTGTTGAGGCTGTCCTGCAGCCGTTTCCGACAAAAGCCACCGCCTAGCAAGTCGTTCGCGTCTGCTCTCGGGCCCGGCCACCCCTTGAAGGCGAAGCTGCGGCTCGTCCTGTCCACAGGTTGCGTGAACTGCAGCATGAGGTGGACGTGCAGACGCCCCGTCTTCGTCCGCTCCAGCGTCGCGCACCAGTACCGCACCTTCCAAGCCTTCTGCTTCGAGCGCACGTGCGCCAGAAACTGCCGCCACTGCGGCAGGCCCTGCACCCCGAAGTACGTGAGCAGCACGCCCGCGGACTGGATGCGGTAGGCTTTCTTGGAGACCTCCCGGACGATCAGATCCTGGAAGGTTTCGCCAGGCGCGCCGTCAGCGGCGGCCGCCCCTGCAGGCGCCTCGGGCTGCTCTGCGCGTTTCGGGCGGCCCCTCGGTTTCTTGGCCTGGTCCCAACGCTCCTTCGCGGCGTTCAGCTGCTTCGCGTGCTCGTCTGCCCCGCCCTTGTCCGGGTGCGCCTTGCGGAGCACCTTTCGAAAGGCTGCGATCACCTCGCTGTCCTGGGAGTCCCTGTGGAGGCGAACCACAACCGAGCACGCCGCAGCAACCGTGAGGAGCAACTTCACCAAAGCCCTCCGGGCTTGCACTGCGCCAGTCAACCCCATGACCAACAGCAGAGCAAATCCTTGCTAAGGTCTTGAGCCAAAGCGGCTGCAAAGATGATGGAGATGACGATGATGATTGGCGGCGGCGAGAACCCATTTTGCCCTTCGGGGGTACTAAAGTTTTTGACCATAAGATGAGAATTGCCTCGCTGGTCACGCGTGCCGCGGAGGACCGATCAGGATGCAAAGGTGCCTTGATGCGGATTCGCGAGCCTTTGTGGGCCCTCTGGGACGGCCAACCAGTGAACCGAGAGCGACCGCATTGGAGAAGGATGCCCAGGGTCTCACGGCATCAATGCAACAAGGAATACAATGAAACATCGCGTTGGCATGATAAGGACAGGGTCGATGGGGATGATGACACGGACGATCAAACGTGACCCAAGCGGAGTGGTTTACTGTGAATGGGTTCAAGTCGGAGTGTTTTCCGGCCCTATTGTAAATGGGACGGAGTAATTATCACCCTGTTTTAAATATATATTATTATATTCTTACAGGGTGAGTGCCCATCGGAGTCGAACCGCCGCCCGACCCAAAACATGTCGCTAAGATTCTACGGGGGGGCAGGGGGCGTCGACAGCATGACGTCTTATGGTCAAAACTATAGTACCCCCCGTGTACTACTACTACTACTACTACTACTACTACTACTAGTACTATTACTACTACTACTACTACTACTACTACTACTACTACGACTACGACTACGACTACGACTACTACTACTACTACTACTACTACTACTACTACTACGCCTATAACTCCGAGGGTTGAGCGTCATCTAATCAAGCGGTATAACGTAACTGAGCAATGGTAGAGGTTCGGAATCGGACCCAGGTTTGGCATACAATCCGGCGCACACAAAAGAACACGAATAACGTTGTCGCATGATTCCTGTCGTATCCGATTGGTTCCTGATGATTGACACTGATTCCGATTGATTCCTTTTGTTTCCTACTGATTCTGGTTGATGCCGATTGGATCCGATTGATTCCTGTCGGCTCCGATTGGCTCTTATTGGCGGGGGCTCCGTCCGTGAGCGCGCAGTGAGGAAGTGTCAGGCGGGAGCCCCCTCCAAATGGGGCCCGCACTTCACGTTGGTAATCCGAGCGGTTCATCGGCAAACTCCAACCAGCAATTACAATTGAGCACCCCGAAGGAGCACATCACGATGCTCTCGCGTCCGTGAATGATTTGCAAGTCTCAGGCGGGGGGGCCCTCCCAACACGCGGCAGAATATTTCATAAATCATCAGCAGATAACGTCAGAGAGCAGAAGGAAGCTACAATTACCAGCAGAAAGCAGCAGAGACCAGCGGAGACCTGCAGAGAGCAGCAGAGACCAGTTGAGGCCGCGCAGGAGGACAACGGGCGGGATGGAAATGACGGAGAGGGGGGGGGAAGGAGGAGAAGATGGAGGAGCGAACATTTCGCGGGCGGAACTGTCGTGCACGGCGTACTGGCGCAGGGGGCAAGCGCGCGTGCCGTGCGCGCCGGCGCTTCAATAACCGCTAGATATGCTATCGCGCGCCCCATGGCCGACACTTGTCAGCGCAGGAAAAAGAGCAATTGGCAACTCCGTGGAATGACCAGTTGGCCTTTCAAGCAAATTCCCATTGGGCCAAAACTGTGGGGTTAGCTAACCCTACCGAGCCGATCTCACTCCACCGCCATCTCGGTCGGCTTTCAGCGCCTTGGCTTTGTCCGCCACGTTGCTCAGGCCCCCGTCGACACTGAGCTGGCACAAGTACTTGACGCCGGCCCCGTCCTCGGCCTCGGTCAGCGCCACGACGCGCGTCGCGAGGTCTGGCGAGACCGCGAACGCGAGCGTGATGAACGCATGCTCCACGCTCCAACGCCCGGATCTTGGGGTTCTTCTCGCGCTTGATCTGCGCCGCGCGCAGCCCCCTAAGGCCGACCACCGCCACCTGGACGGTCGCGACGGCGGCCCAGAGGCCCTCCGACTTCAGGTCGTCGTCACCGAACGCCTCCTTCTCGCCGCCGGCCGTCGCACCTTCCTTCCAGAAGATGTCGCTGGTCGGCGTCGACAGAGCGGCGCGGATCTCCGTGGTGAGCTCGTCGCGCAGCCGCGTGAGCGCCTGCTTTCCTCGCCCGAAGCGACGCCAGTCACGCTCTCGGCAAGGCCCTCCGCGTGCGCCAGGGTTGGCGCACAGCAGGCCACCGAGCACGACGTCCACATTCTTCCGCGATGAATTGGCGCGAGTTGCGGCCCTTGACCCCGCTGATCACACCGGCCTCTGGATTGCACAGCCCGCCGAACAGGCCCTTCACGCGCGCGGAGTTCTCGCGAGTCTGGCCCCCGCCCATCAAGCCGCCGAAGAGCCCGCCAGCCATCCCGCCGCCTGTAGCGGCGTCTTGGTCTTGCTGAGCGACTTCAGCACGGCGCCGGCTTCCTCCGGGCTTGGGGCGGCGGCGCGGCCCGCGGAATAACTCCCGTGCGTGATCGCGACCGGGTCCGTCAGCTCGGCCTCGTCGATGACGGCCTTGTCCGCCTCCTTCCGCATCTCCGTGTCGAAGAACCGCTTCTGCGCGCCGTCGATCATCTGCCGCGCCTCGCCCAGGGTCGCCGACGCCGACAGCATGCCGATGCTATTAGTAACGGCCTGAATCATGTTGCGCGCGCCCTCGGTGTCCAACTTCACCATCGAGAAAACGCCCCGCATGCATGGCGCGCCTCGACGATGGAGGAGACTTCCGGCTTCTCCATACTCTTCGCGTCAGACGCGATATGAGTTGGTTTGCCGGCGCGGCCCCCCTCAAACGCCGCGTGCGCGGCGTTGAACTCCCCGATCGCCGCGCGCGCGGGGGCATTCTTATGCCCACCACCACCCCGCTGAATCCAGACAAGAGGTTCGCCCAGGCGGGACGATTGGAGGTGGGGGAGGAGGAGGAAAAGGACGAAGAGGAAGAGGAGACATTGAACAGGGAAGGCGAACAGGAGGTAGGGGACGGAGGACGAGGAAGAGAAGGAGGATGAGGAGGAGGCGCAAAAGAGGGTGAGAAGTGGGGCTTCGGCCAGGGCGAGGAGTAAAGAGCGAAGGGCAATCTAAATAGATTATCACGTGTGGTCCTACCATCGGAGTGAGTATTGATTGCTGTTGTTTCAAATAGGTTCCTATTGATTTCAACCGCCTCCGACTGCTTTCTTCAGTTTCCTAATGATCCCGACTGATTCTTCTTGATTCACCTGGACCCTCATCAATTCCTTTTGATTCGTATACATTCCCGCTCATCCTTTTTGATTCCAACTGATTCCGACCGACTTCGATGAATTCCTATTGATATGTCTTGGAGCGCAAATGCAACAGTAATTGCGCTACCGAGAAGCCGCACATATCTCTTTCAGGTTCTGCATGAAAATTTTATGTTGCACCCTGCTTTGCTCAAACTGCTATGGGCGCTCGTCCTTGTGACGCGGCGAAGCGGCTTTGCCACGCCCTTCGACGTAGATCTCCAAGGCTGCGCGCGAGTTAACTCCATCAAAGTATCGACATCTGCTTGCCGCAATGACCAACGCAGCGACGGGATATCCTTGACGCGAAGGTGGATTCTCTGCGGGGTTGTCGTGGAGCGGAGAAGCCCAAACCCCCTCTGAACATGTGAAGAAAAACGCTGTGGGAAGCTGAAGTCGGCGCTATGGGGGTTTTCCATCAACCAAAAGCATCGGTTATTGAAGAATTCGGCAGGAGGCCGAGATCGTGGCAAGCGAATGGAATATCCCAGAATCCTGCTAGATGCTGTGCACGGCGCATGTCCAATGAAATTCTGACTGAATAACAAGATGAACGTTGAAGAACTCCCTGGGCACCTCAAGATTACAAAAGTTTCGTTCGGATTCCTCCAGCTTCCTCTGCCCCCTTCAAGATTCCTCGAGCTTCCTCGGGATATCCGAGGAACGCTCAAGAATCCTGTTGAAGCCATATTGATTCCAACGGGTTGCTCCAGGCTTCTGTTGGTCATCATATGGATTTCATTGAACTCCTCAAACTCTACACCGGTAAATGTCCATTGCTCCCCCGCGTGGCCGGGTGACGACCCAAACTTCTCTTTGCTCGGAAGGGGTTCTTATGGCCTGCTCAGAGGGATGCCAACAGCCTCATCCGTGGCGCGTTACCAGGTGATGATTGGTGGCGCGTGACTAGGTGATTATCAACCCGACGAGGACGACGACGAAGACGACCACGACGACGACCACAACGACGACTACTACAACTACTACGACTACTACTACTACTACTACTACTACTACACTACTCCGACTGATACTCCTATTCGAACTCCTATTCCTACTCCTACTGCTACTGCTACTACTACTACTACTACTACTACTACTACTACTATTACTACTACTACTACTACTACTACTACTACTACTACTACTACTACTACTACTTACTACTACTTCTACTACGACTACGACTACTACGGATACGACTACTACTACTACTACTACTACTACTACTACTATTACTACTATTACTACTACTACTACTACTACTACTACTACTACTACTACTACTACTACTACTACTACTACTGTTACTACTACTACTACACCAATTACTACCACAACTACGGCTAGTACG